TGATCTTCCCTGGGATACTCGTGAGACTTACCGGCCTGTAATTTCCTGGATTACTCTTTTCGCCCTTCTTAAAGATCGGTACGACGTTTGCGCGTCTCCAGTCCTTAGGTACTTCCCCGCGCGAGAAGCTGCTATCGAATATAATTCTTAGCGGAACCGATATTTCTCTCGCGGTTTCCTTAATGACTCTGACTTTTCCAGTGACTGTTGTCCCCTTTGGCACAGCACGGGCCTCAAGAACACCTTTGCAATCCCAAAACGTGCGTACATGATCGCATATGTCGATGGGACCACCTTGAATTCTCTTGGAGGTCATGAGCCATAGTGCCTCGGTGCGTTTGATCTGAGGGTCGTAGAGAGGCAGCCAAGTTTCATTCATCGTGATGATCCTCTTCGAAAACGCACGACCTCGGCGAAAACGATGCAGAAACTGTGGCCAGGCATCCACACGCACAGCCATCCGACCTGCCGTAAGGTGCCTGGGAGAGATAAAACCTTCCTCGCGTGGGGCTTCTCTGTCGGAATCGCGTGAGCTGATCCCACAGAAATGCTGCAACGCTCCGCTATTTTCTCGACCGATTGACGTCCGTCTTCCTTAAAGATGCCGTCAGCAAGGTCTATAATTTTGCCACTCGTTGCTGTCAGCAGCCATCCACTGCGGGGGCCATCTTAATGTCTGCTCTCCTCGAAAGCTTCCGCCCGTGTTCTTATACTCATGGTGGGCTCCGATAGGTAACTATACCCAGAAATTTCACTGAATTGCTGATTGACTTCAGCCGCTTTCTTCTCTTGCAGTGGCAAAAACTTAATAGTGGTTTTCTGCTCGGCTTCAGAAGTCGCTACCATCTTCGAGGAGGGCTCAAAACAGACTGAACCAAATGAGCTGTTACTAGCAAGTTTTTAGTTTCACCAAGTTCAGACCAGTAGCACTGATACGTCTCTAGTAGACATCTCACATTAATAACAAGTTCCAGCTTGTATGAAATTTCAGGAAGATAGTTTTACCTTTTTCAAGACATGTACATTCTGTGAGGCAAAGTAAAAGTCAACTTTGTTGGAGAAGAAGCATGAACCAGAATCGATGCCCTGCTCATCAAAGTCCTGCAAACTTGGAAGTGCTGAGGCGCAGGAAAAGTCTGGAATTTTGTCTCACGAGGCCAATTTCTCTAATTTTATTATATTAATTTCCTCCTTTTTTCTTCCAAGAGATGATACTGGAAATTCTCTTTGATGAAGTTGCCGCGATATTAACACAGGATGAGAGACTGAGAAGTTTTGGCACGAGAAGCACGAGTCCTGGGTGAGGGCGAGATCACTGGGGGGGAAAGCGAGATCATCAGGGGGGCAAGCGAGATCATCGGGGGGGAAGCGCGATCATCGGGGGTAAAGTATTTCTCACGAGTCCGAGCGACATTTTTCCCAGTCTTCATCGCGAAATAGGCAGGGATGTGAGAGATCGCAGCAGGATACCGTCGCCAACAATCCAATCGATTGGACGATCGCGATTATCAAACTGAAACACTTCTCGAGGGAGCGTAGCATCACACCTCTCGTGCGAATGCGAACGTACATGGGAACAGAGAAATCCATTTCTAGCTTCTCGGATCGTTAAAACACACACATTCGGAAGATCAATGATGCAAATACGGTCTTCCCCCATCGAGTATATAGGTCTACTTGCAAATGCGGCGATGAGGGGAGGCACACCTTCGGTAATAGCGATTTTTTCCGCCTTTCAAATTTATTCATGCAGTACTCCTTTTCAGAAGGGAAGCAAGTGCAACTTGCTTCAAGTGCATGATAACCGTTCATGTGATAAACAATAAAAACGTCCGGATGCTGAAAACATTCTGAGTTGAGCTTCCCCCCGAGGAGAAGCGGCCCGACAAGAGAGGAGCGTCTCACCAGGGGGTGTCATGGGTCTCGGAGGTCCCATGCCCATGCCAGGTGGTCCCCGAAAGGCCCCAGGCCTAGGTCCCACTGGACCCAAAGGACCCAAGCCAGGTGGGGCAGGTGAAGGCCTGGGTCCGCTGAATGACGGGATCCCTCGACCTTGTTGCATCGGGATCGGGGCCGAAGACGGTCGCGGACCTGGGGCGTTCGTCGCATCGCCTTCTTCGGTCCCGATCAGTGTGTTCAACATCTTGCTAGCAAAGCTTAACATGATGCACGTTCTCGGCAGCACCTTTCCGACTGATCACAGAAAGCATTGCACACAACATGCACACTGCGAGGAAATCGAAGACATGGTGCATCAGGCTGCGGCAGCAGCACTAGGAAGGAGGGGAACCAGGGAGAGAGAACCCTAGTGAAGATCGATCTTCCACGTAGACGTCACTCGATGCTTTCATTTCCCCTCCAGACTCACAGATGGCGGCTTTTGCAGGAAGACTTGCGCGAAGAGTTGCGTTTCGGTACACAATAGCTCAGCTGGAAGTCCGGGGATCCCCCTTAGCAGACGACAATTCGATGACTCAACGGTTTCCTCTCGACCAATCACGATGGCTCAGCCCGCTGCCGTTGACCGGTAAAAAGTCTCCTTTCATGTAGCAGACGACAGGTCTTGTGCTAGGGCTTTGGAAACATGTCCGCTCGCAACCGCTTCGTTTTCTTTCATAGTAGGTCCCGGTGCCGAGATGTATCTCCAACTAGGTCTAGCCATTGTGAGCTTCGTCCTGTTGATCACCATCTACCTACGCCTACGACTTCATTCGGTCAAGAAGCGCCTTCTTCGGGTTACCACAAAGCTCTGCGAGCTGCAGCGGATATGCTACGAAACCTCTGCTGGAGCTGAGCGTAGTCTCAGAATTGGTATGTCTCTTGGTACAGAATTAGATATCTCTTAGGTGTAGCTTTGGGTTTCAAGTTGAGTTCAGGCTCTACATATACATTATCAGGCATAAGTTATGTCTGATGTCACGTTTCTTGGACTTTGCAGAGGGCTGCCTACGAGCATCAAAGCAACCCTCGCTACAGCGTCTGGTTCGAGAGTTGGACCGCCTCGCAAAGGAATACAAATTTGGAGAGCATGTAATTCACCTTGCAGTGACAGCAATTTTGAATGCCAAGAATATTTCCTCAGATGCCCATTCTCCGTGAGTGAATAGAATCTTCCCATCCAGGTTTTGGCCTTTGAGCCATAATTTTAATTACCAAATGATACAAATCTTGCATAGGTTTGTGTCAGGGATATCACAGAGCGTCAGGCAAATTTGGGGTTATCGTCAGTTGTTCAACCGTTTGGATGATATTCGCCAAACTCAATATGATTGCAATAACACACAACACGAGGCACAGTTGACAAATTTGTGGAATGCACTGGTCCCAACGGAGTCACTGCCAGGCCGACATGGAAAGCATTGGAGCTACATAGGTTTCCAGGGTGAAGATCCAGCATCTGACTTCCGTGGAATGGGACTACTTGGTCTCTACAATCTCCAGTAATTGAATTTCTTTGGGGTCCATCTAGGATTTAGTTGTCTGTACATCATAGTTTGAATGCCATTGTTTCTTTCATCCATTCAGGTATCTGAGCCATGAATGTGGAGAGGAGGCACAAAAGCTGCTTTTACATTCCCATCACCCCAGTTATGGGTAAGCCTAAGCCTTCATCGTAATGTTTTTCTTTCCGGCTTCTCTTCTATATCTAAATTTCAACTTCATGATTATCTTTAGTGAATGCATAGGGTACATGCTTTTTTATTTAAGAAAAAAGAAGCCAATGTTGCAAATACTAATGACATACTATTACTTTATACAAGCAAAAATGTAAAGGTTGTAAGATTCGCCTGCCATAGAGATTAAATACATGAGCATCAGCTCTGGTTCCTAGTCTCTTAGAGATGTCTGATTTCTCTGTACTCACCTATATTTTTAAATGCCAGGCTTCTTATCCTCAATTCTTTTTGCTCTCAATGAGAGGGTTTGGCTTGAAATGGCATTAAATGAAAAAAAAAAGGCATGAGGCTTCCATTGTTGAATGGGAGTGCTGATGTACATCTCACAACTCAATTTCTTAGTCAATACCTTTCCACCCAAGTTTACCAGTCATTTTAGGCCTCAAATTTTTTGATAGTGTCTGTTTGAACTATGATCTTTTGCTTAAATGAAAAGTCAAGCAAAAGCAGCATGTGTGTTTTCAATCAGTTGAGTGGATATTGGTACAAAAAGTTCTGGTAAAAATATATGAAACTGAATGAGGAACATTATACTAATGGCTTGGTTACCTGACAAGAAAAGGTTTCATTTCGTAACATTCATTGGTAAGGTTGCAATAATTTATCGACTTCATTTTTTTGTCTGGTTTACTGAATTAGCTAAAGCAAGCCTTAACCCTTTTACAGCAAGAATTTTGAAGAGATAAAAAGAACAGAGGGCAACTGAAGTCACTTTTCACAGCGAAAGGGTTAAGGGCATTTCACATTTTGTGTGTCATGCGTCCTTTGCATCAATGCAGACAGGCAGGTAGGCAGATGCACATGTGCATAAACATGTCCACTTACATTCAAGAGTTTTCATAAAATGCAAGACTTGCATTTTCAATTGAACTCATTCCATTCCTACATGCAAACCTTGTGTTTTATGAAAACCCTTAAATGTAAGTGAGTAGGTGGACATGGATGAGCATGGGTGTGTCTGCCTGCCTGCATTGATCCAAAGGAAGCATGAAATGTCCTGTAGTTGTGCCCAGTTGTGCCAAAGCAAAGTGGTATGATGAAACTCTGTATCCCTGTAGCTCAGGACTGAATAGGGACAAATTGGTTTGGAAGGTTCAATACTAGTACTCTTGTGGCAATATGATGATGAAATGCTGTGATTGTAGAAGTGTATCATCATGGAAAAAGCTGTCAGGGCACTGCTATGATTTAACCCTTTGAACCCATCAAGCAGGTTTTCTGGCCTAAGCAACAGGTGCTCTGATAAGCCCAGGAACCTAGGATGGGGTGTGGATACAGGCATGGAAGCTAGGGTTCAAAGAGTTAAAGAGTGCCTCCCCATTGCCTTATGTCTGAAGAGAAACTGCTTTCTTTAGAATGCTGAAGTACTAAGCATGAAAAAACTCATCACTCTATGACATTGACTTGTTTTTAATACTTTTCTTGCACCACTTTACAATTGGGCATGGGAACTGGAAAAAAATTTTTCTTACATTTGGTATATTTTGTCCAAGATTTCATTGATGTGGCACTAGTTCTGATCCAGGGGGTCCATCAAGACATTTTCTTTATGAATATAGCCATGGCAAAAATTAGTCATCTAATTACAGCAGATATTGTCATCAGAAAAAGGGAAAGGGAAAAGGGAAATAGGGGGTAATGTTTGGATATTGGGTAGTGTTATGAATGTTTTTATCCAAAAACAATTACAATCAACTCGATATACCGCCACTGTTGGTCTTCACTGATTTTGGTGCTATATTGAAAAGTGTGGCTTTAAAATTGAAAATTTCTGAAATAACTCAAACGGAAAATAGAATTAGCAAAAAAAAATCCACTTTAATTTGTCCATGGAGAACAAAAACATGGAGAACTTTAATTTGTCAATGGAGAACAAAAACTACACAGCTTTTAAAAATTATTCAAAATGTTTTGCTGACTCTCGGCTGCATGTGCCTCCTTGTAACGACACACGTCCACTTTTTCCCTCACACTTATAATGGTCCTTTTCCCCATTACTGGATAATGAACACACTTGAACTGAAAGAGGTGCTTTCATTCTCCAAAAGTAAGAAAAGGAGTGGCAGGATTAGGTCAGACCCTTACTCCCCCCAGTAATCCTTGGTGTCCATGCCAAAGCTAAGTCATCCCTCATAATCGCACTATCAAATGATCGAAAGGAAAGGCTGACAGCATGTCATTTTTTTCCACCACTGTAGTGCATGGTATAATCATTGTAGCTGGTACAATATGCTGCTTGGCACTTTATTGAGTATGACTTACATTGAATAAGGCATGTATGTGCAAGGCAAGGTATTGGCAGATGGCAGCTTGCAAGGGTGGTGCTATAACATGGGAGCGCAAATGATAAGCCTATGGGGAAGATTTGTTTTCAGAAAGAGTTGGCGGTACATCGGGTGGCACTATATCAAGAGTTGACTGTAATAATAAGTTGGCAAAAAATATTTATGTACTGAAAGGGTTATGGTGGAGGGCAGTTGAAGTGACCCAGCAACTTATATATTAAAAAGCAATAGCCTTGTAACCTAAGTTTTTCCTCAGTATCTTTGTGCTTGTTAGAGTATTTAAGCTTGAGAATTTTCTTTTTTTGCCTCCAGGTACTCTTTTGCCATCATGGGAATCAACATGACCGATCTGTGCCTCCAACTCTTGCGGGATGGGACAGCCCGAACCCATTTTTTCAATGAAAACTCTAGCATTCCCACTGAGCAAGACTTTCATCACTTCTATGCTTGTGTCTTCATTCAATTTGATTCTTTTTGGATTGATTCCAAACCAGATTCCATCATGAACTTCAGTGATATTCGGACACGCTTTGAGATGCAGCTACGGAGGCAACTGCAAGATCCTAAAGCACATCTTGTTCTTGAACATAGATGATTTTTCTATTTGTAGTTTTTTGTTCAAGGTTCACACATGAATCAGCTGATCTCATATCTTGCACCTTTTTCCTGCCTTATTTGCTGTGGTAAACTCATTCTTTCTCCTTTCCTTTTGCAATTAAGGGTATTATTCTCATGTGATTGGGTAATGTGCACCAGACCAGTTTCAGCAAAACTGGCCTGTTTTGATGGATAAAGGAATGTGTAACTTGATTGACATTACTCCATTGACCTTATGAAATTCGACTAGTTTAAAGTCAAATGGTTCTGGTATGTCACCACTAAAAGGAGTGCAAACCACAAGAGGTGAGAGCCAGAAGGAGAGGTTGTAGGGACTTGGGACACACATGAGTGTGTCCCAAGTTGTTGACTGCCTAAAAGCACCATATCTTTTTTGGGGTATGCATGGAGAAAAGATGAGTTATGCATTGGAGGAAGTGATTGAGTTGGTCTTGATTTTCACAAAAAACAGAAAACAGCTCAAGAGCTTTGGCAGATAGTTTTCTGTTAGATATATCCTGATTGTCTGAGACCAAAAAGGCCACCGCATATCTGCAACTGAAAGCTGCTCAAGAAGTGTACCTTACACAAGTTACCATCCATCTACAACAATCAACTTGAACTTTCAAGAGTAGCTGGCTTTAGTCACTCATTTGTTGCAAGGGTGTTTGCAATTTATGAGTTCCATCCATAAAGGGAGAATATTGTTAAGGGACAGCAATGGTGACTTCAATCAGTGCACCGAATTCTGCAAAATATTCATGAACAAATGTAATGCAGATCTGAATATAGTGTCGTGCGGGGTGAACCAAAAAAATGTACCTGATTTCAAAGTGAAATTACAGTATAACCATGCAAGATAGGATTGAATAATAAAATGCATTAAGTTGGCAAACGTAAACTTTTTTTTATTTACTAGATAATCCTTTTTTTCTGTTCAGGTTCAAAATACCTCAAATTTACAACAAAGAATCTTTATCATTGAGGAGCATATCAAAACTTAATAATAGCAACACAGTATGCATTTATAAAGGAGTTTCTGTAAGTGAGGTGTCGACAGCTGAGACTGACAAATTCTGACCAAATGGAGGGGGAAAAAGGTCAAATCCATTGTATTGTCTTAGCTGTCAGCACCTCATATCCTGGAAACTCCTTTCTGAATGCATGTTGTGTCATTATTACTAACTGAGTTTGGCATGTGCCTCAATGATAAAGAATCTTTGTTGTAAATTTAATTGAAGCATTTTGAACCTGCAACTGAAAAAAAATTATCTAGTAAAAAAAAATGCTTACTTTTGCCAACTTAATGCATTTTATTATTCAATCCTATCTTTAATGGTTACCCTGTAATTTCATTTTGAAATTGGGTAAAGTTTGTTGGCCCACCTTGTATTTGTCATGGTGACAAAGCTGTTTCTTTCATCAATGCCATTTGGCAGTCTTGTCCCTCACCCTTATATCTGTGGTGAAAAATGTATGCTCTCACCTTGAGCCATATATCATAAGTACGTTAAGAAAGCCTATGTTCAATTAATCCTATGACATCCTGTATATGAAACCACAATAGGTATAGAGCAGTGAGGATTTAAAATGATCCATTTAAAATTACCCATCCTTTTTCACTACTGAATGCAACCTATACATGACTTGGGTGATTGCTGCACAGAATAAATTCATTAGGATAGCAGCAATCTCATCCAATCATGAAAGGGCAGGTAAATTTTAAGTTATCATGGTTACAGTTTCCAATTTGGTACCAGATCCTAATTACGAGGGGCTTCAAAAAGTTCTGCAACTCAACTTGTAAATTTCAAATGACCATCCATTAAAACAATTATATATTTAATCCTTCAAAGTACTCCCCTCCCCCCAGCATCTATTCATCAGCCCTCTATCGGGATACAGCACCATCTTGCAGAAGTTTAAACAACCACTTAGACTCTTAAACCTCTCTGTCAAGTATCAGCTGGATCCCAACTGTCCCTTGAAATGTTAAAGTTGAAAAATTAATTGAATTCTGAGATGCACAAGTGATCAAGTGGTCAAGCACAGGTGATTGCCTAACTTAAGGTGGAATGAGCCGCCTCTGAGAACCTTTAATTCACCTCTAAATGGGCATTGCACGACTTAGGCAGGGGTGCTGAAAAAAAAGCTTGCAAGCATTTCAACACCTTGTAACTGTCAAATATCGATCACATATCCAATGAAAGGAAACTGTGTTTCTCCTATAGAAAACGGTAGAGCTTTTTTTTTTTAACCACTACATATGGCCAAACAGTTGCATTGTCTTTGTCATGGGAATGTCTGTTTCTGATCAGTAATACCATGATTGTCAGTTTTTCAATAATGGCTGATGGGCACATCAGTTAAATGATGGTGGAATTACATCTCTCCCATGCATGATCAGGTTGTGTTTTCTGTTTATAAGCAAGTGCTTCATATGGATGTGCATGCTGGCTTATGACACTAGACAGCAGGGATGGTGAATCCTCCTGACCTTATGAGCTGCATAACAAAATATTCAGGAGGCAGAGAGCCACAAGACACACACACCACATTACACATGCATTCCCTAGAGCCAACCTAATAATTTTACAAAAAGATTCACACCCTTGTGAGCCATACTTGATATGCATAGAAGCTGCATGTGGTTCATGAGCTGTAGTTTGGCCACCCCTGATAGAAGGCAATGTATTGGAAGTTTCTATTCCATTACAACTAACTTCAAATTCCTGTTCAACTGTGAACTACTTGTATTTGGAATATTAATGGCTTCTGTTTTTCCAAAGAAAAAACTTCATGTCTCGTTTTTCATTTTTTTGCATGATCTCCAAGGCTCAACACAGCTTGCTTCCTGCACTTAGTCCAAGCATTAGCATTGGTCTAAGTGAAAGTGTTAAGCATGATTAAACCCTTTTGGTTATTTAGATGGATGTTCATGAAAAAAATTGACAGCTCTGAGGAATTGGTTGATGGAATTTTGCAAAGCAGTAGGTATAGCACCATAGCTGGCCTAATTTAATCTTATATAATATAGACAATTGTGACTGAGTGACTGACTGATGCTAATTCTAATCATATCACCAGTTATTTTACTTTAGTGCTCTCTATGGAAGGCAGTCTCATTAAATATTTAAATTAAAATAACAAAAAATAAAAAACCAGGGGTTAAATCTAAACATCACTGCTCTATCGGTATCTCTCACCCTTGTAGCCTCACTCTTTATCTCCTTTCAGCATGAATGCCACTAAGTATTAATACATCCTCACTCATCTCTCATGACCCACTGCTTCATCTTGTCTCACCGGGGTGCCCAATAAGGCCCTAAAGGCCAGTTGGATCCTGGAAATGCCTTTTCTTCTTGTGGGGCTCCTGTCCCTTAATTCACTTCATATAGGATGTAAATATAATATGAGTTACCTAAAAACTGAGATTACAAGATCTAAAAATAGCTAATTGCTAAGGTTTAAAATCCCTCCCAACTCCTACTTCAGGTGGAACAAAAGCTAAAATGCCCCAACCTATTTAAAAGCAGGTTGCCTCTCATTAAATGGCTGCTCTTCCTTCTCAAATTTAAATAAACATAACAGCCATGTGAAGGTCCACCACAGGGCAGCAGGACCCACCATACCTTTAATTCCTATTCTTTTTAAATGAATGAAAAATCCATAGACAAGATCAGATTACTCAAACTTACCTGAAACTGAAAGAACTGAATTTTAAAATGATATGTGATACTAAGTCAGCAAACGCACAAGAACTTCCAGGATGCTATGTACTTGAGAGGCAAAAGGCATGCCTGGAGACAGGTATATTTGTCTTCTATTTTCATGCGAGATATGCCATTTAAAAATTGATATTATTGCATGTCTGAATTTTTCATAAACAACAGTTGCAAGACCGCTTGCACCATTCAATTTATTGCTATTGTATAAACTATAAAAACACTTCAATACTCAGTTGACCACAATGATCAACATCTACACTCAATCCTGTCATGTAGTCATGATTTTATTAATGTATTTCTGGCCTTAGCATCTTAGCAGAGGGCTTGAATCTGGGGGTGGAAAATATAGAGTTTGTATTTGCTGCTGCCAGGAGAAATACAATGGTTTTATCTTTTTGCCCAAACACGCTTTATTCAAGTTCACTAGCCATACTGGAAGAGCATGAAAGGCATATCGTGAAAGCAACCATTCAACAAAAAATGGCACATCTTAGAAAACAAAGGGAAAAAATCCATATTGGAGAATGCCCGCACAAAAAAACTAAAAACACATGCACTTCTGAGATCATCAAGTTCTTCAGGCACCACAACACCCATACGCTATGCATACGTTCCATGTCACATGAGCAGACACGAATGTGATGTCAAAATAGACAGGCAGAGAGAGATGGGAGTTAGAAAAATATAAAAAAAAAGCAGAGGGAAGATACTGGGAATTCAGACTAACTTCATATCCTTATGGATTCAACCCCTTTTTCAGATTACTCAAAAGAGATTTACAATGGAGTTTGTGTTTCTGGGAGTATGAAATGAATCTGAATTCACAGCAGGGACAATTGAAAGAGTTTAGGAAACAGAGGAGATGGGATTGTGGGGAGTTCCCATTTGAGTGAGGACTTTGTCTAGCCAGTGGAGTGGACCATGGAGATGGACCTCAATCCAACATGGAGTGCTAGTCACATCTTGGCGATGATACTCTGCTCCCCATCCTTTCACAAATGACATCCTGTAAATAAATAAAAATTCACAAAATTTCCAGCAATTCACAAAAAAGTTACAATTTTGGCATATCAAAGTGAAACTTCGGTGACATTGCTCAAAAAGTTTGCCTTTGTTCCATTTTAAAAGTTAGCCTACTTCTGAAGGCATTATGTACCAGTGGCCTGATTATTAATCAAAATGGCAACAGAATCATAAAAGACTAGCTGATATCTAGCTAAGTACTGAAGATAACATCAACTCATGAAAATCAAATCTGGTTCCCTGTCAAGTGACAACCTGTAGTTCATCGCAGCTGATTTTCACAGTTCACATTAACTTGATATCCCATGTAGCAATTTGATTGTATTAATCAATTATTCTATCATAATTTCTCTGATAATTTTAAACTAATTTTTTTTTTCCCTGAAAGCTCATTTTCTAGTTCACTAATGGCATGCAAACTTCTGAAAGGATAAATAAACTAATATTTTAACATCAAAATTGATGAAATAATGGCTTCTACAAAGCAGTCATTTTTGCATGGTTGATAATTTGCATGGTTTTTGCATTTTCAGCAAACATATATATGCCTTGGGGGGGGAAAAGAAGCAAAGACAATGGCAATGCTGTTTGAATAATGCAAGATGAAGTAACAATCTTGTGAGGAGAAAGAAAGAGAACCTTAATCTTTAATTTCCCACATTCCAGGAGGGGAAGGGAGGGAATTAGTGGCAATAAAAAATTTAATAATTCAAAGTTCCAAAATTAATCAATGATTAATTCATTAACTGCTTACATGATATGTAAAAATTTCATGCCCCAACTCTTGCTGTGTGCTAGCTTCACGTGCTAATAAGTCATGATTTTATTAATTTCTTATGGAAGTGCATTTGCATTGTAATTTGCAGCATGTCAAGTGAAAGTTTTAATCCTACTGACTATTTTTCAAATTTCTTGTAGCACAGAGCATTTAATGTGTTAACTTCCAGGCAGCAATGAATGGGCTAATTTGACAAAATTGCTTCTAAATAAAGTAATTCAAATAATTAGGCACCAACATTTCAGTGAATAATGATAAATGTACATCAAATCCACCTTCAGATAATCAAGATTTTCTCCAAAGAAGAAAGAAGTATTCTAGATCACTGCATCTGTTGTGTGTGTTCTTTCTGCCATCTGACTCTCTCAGACAACAGCATGAGTATGAAATGCACTGTATCAAAGCTTCATGTGATTGGCCAAAAGGCATGTACAAGTATATCCAATTCGGCATAGACCATTTTAAGCCTTTTTACAGCACTAAATCTGTATTTGTAATTATAAAAAATGAATGAAATGAAACTATGCACAAAAATAGCAAAATTTTTCAGATTTTTGTCTATTTTTGCTGATATTATTAAGTTTGTGGGGAAAAGGGAATCCCAAAAAATAAGACAGAATATAATTGAACATACATTTTAAAAAATACAGAAATGTAAACAGAGTTTAGGCATGGCTTCCCAACCGAAAATTGCTAAAGTGGGCAGGTTTAAGTGAAGACGGCATGAGTGAAATTAAAAGTTTGCTGTTTCATGGTGAACAATGTTGCCATAGGGAAAGGTGAGTCACCTCAGGGACCAAAACAAATAGACACTATTGACTTGATTATGCAGGAACTATTTATTTAGGCACATCAATGCATGCTGCTAAACTAAAAGACTTTTTATTATGCAAATCTACACCAATATTTGAGGAACTCACAATTCTCATGGAAACCAAGTGCCTCCCCAAGCCTCATGCTGAAAATTCCAACAAGAGACTTGGAGAGGGAGAACATCTACTGAGAAACGGAAAAGGGAAGATAAGACCAGATCCTTGAGCTATAGTTGAGTTATGCATCCTAAAGTCTGACTTTTCTTTATGGATTTACAGTTATCCGCATGACTAATCACATGGCAATTCTGCTTAGAATGGGAGGTTCCCCTCCTCAAGGAGCTGGTCAAGAAGGAGAGGGATCAAGTCTGCCTATTCAGGGTAGTGGAATGAACATAGACATGTGGGCCCATTGGTGCAAATTTATTTTTCTTTGCATTCTGCTTCTTGGTTTCCTCCAAATACATTAAATGAACAGTAAGAACTCTCTTGAGTTCATTCAGGGTATTTTTGGGTGTATTTTCTACACTTTTACTTTTCTGGATTCAGCTTGGTTTGAGTTTGTGCTGGTCTCTTACATTGCCAGTCACCAGCTGACAAGTAAGTAGCCAAGGTCTAAAGGACTACATTTACAAGCATACAACAAACCAAGGACTCAATTTCCATTGTACTCTTCCTTATGCATGTTCAACCTTTCCTCAAGTCATCTGTCCCTATCTCAAAGTCAGCAGTTCTTGTGCAGCTAACTCTTGAGGTTCCCCAGTTTAAAATCCCAATTGGAACTTTCCAGCTGGACCAAAGCTGTGCATGAGGACCATTTCTGGCTGGCAAAGAGCTGGAAAATGGTAGAGACCAGTTGTTTTACAGCTGGAATTTTCCAACTGGAATGCAGCTGGTTTTAATACCAGAAATTTCCAACTGGAAATAGCTAAGAATTTTATACAGAGGACCCTCCAGCTGAAATGCAGTTGAATTTCTTCCATAAATTCAGCTGCTTCTGTAGACAGAAGCATGAACTTCTCCAGCATGAACAGCCAACAAAAACATTCTCATTCCACCAAAAGTATCAGAACCAATCTGGATCTGGCTACTTTCAAGCTGCTACCCAGTTGGAATGGGTCCAAATTTACAGCTGGGGACCAGCTGCAAATTATAGCTGTTCTCAACTGGGATTTAAGTTTGGTCACACCCTTGTATATCCTCTCAGTGGTGTACGAGTCCAAAACTGCCTTGCCTGCTTTGAGAATTTTTATTAGGGAAATAGGATAAGAGAACCTTGCTATGGGCCCCATGCTTAAGTCCTATAACTAAAGTCTACCTATGCTTCTACAGCTGCCTCTTCTATTCCCACATGCCAACTGCTTCTGCACAAGAGGCACAAGTCCTAACATACACCAGCTCGGGCACACAAAGAAAACTTGCTCCACAAAATTGTTATTAAATGCACAAAAGGAATATTGATGCTCTCACTTATCAGTAACTAGGAAAACACCACTGCATCTACTGCTGAGGAAAACAAAATATCTTGTATCTGCCCCTTCAAAGTTTGAATGCTTTGCAAGGGACTCACCTGATGGTACACATCTTGGTGAGTTCATAAACAGCCTCAAAGCCCTGATTGACACTTTGTGAGAGAAGGGATGCAAATTCTTGATTGTTGAAGATCTTGAGGGAGCAGCCAGGAGGAATCTTGCAGACAGTGGTTGGATGGAACCCGTGATGGTAGTTGCAGTTGCGCGACTGCACAAAGATTGCACTGTCTGACAGACATTCTGCATAGACCTCCCCTCCCACATAATACAAGTGAACACCTGCAAAATACTTAGGCATTAAATTTCTTCGATTACTGAGAGAATATTGTTCAAGATATAAAATGTCACTGATGCCATCCTGACCTTTGCCAATGTGTCGTCGTGTGTTCTCGATGGTAGAATTGCGATTCACATTGGAGAGGAGGCCAAGGCAGAATCTGTTATTGTTGTTGGAGGGATTTGTGAAGCCATCAACGATAATTGAATGAGAATGAGCATAGAACACTTCTCCAACACGAGAGTTCAATTCATAATATGCGATTGTGGCCCACACCGTTGGTTCCTACGATAAAGTCAATGTTCAACAAACCATGAAGAAAATCTCAAATAAGGGTGAAATAAAATTTCCTTTAAAGACCTGGTAAGCAACAGGTTGAACATCAGGTAGAATTGAAGCTGTTGTGTCCATGGCATCAGTTGTATCATCTCGAGGACTGTACGCTGGAGGAGGAGTTTCCGCTAGATGAGAATAATAAGATCAAGTCACATTGTTTTTTATTTATTATAGAGGGAAAGAGGAAACATAAAGCAAGAGTCAAGAAAGCATGTCAACAGCAAAGAATTGAATCAGACTTCAGCCACAATAGCTGCCAGATGGTAAAGACTCTTCAAACCCTTCTTTGGGTATGACTAAAAATCTCTTGAGAGTGTGGCTGTGAAGATTATTTGCAGGTATCAGCACTGATAACTGATTGCAGCAGGACTTTCTGAAAATGAATTTCTCTGCAAAAGTAATTTCCCAGGATATGTTTATGCTTAATGCAACAAATGGAAGTTGAAGTATTAGGCACACAGTTAAATCAGAACTACCGTATTTACTCGCGTATAAGGCGCTTTTTTTTCATATTTTATTGTGTTCGATGAGGGGGTGCGTCTTATACTCGAGGAAAAAAATTCTCTTTTTCGAGAAAAAAATTTTTCAGCGTACCTATAACTCATTGGTCACTAATTTGAGGCGGAAACTGTCTGCAGTCAGTCAGAACAGGAGAAATATAATAATTATAAAACAGTAAACAGGGAGTGGCTACGTCGATTCGCGGACTTCATTCGGTATCGGAATTGGAATCTGAGGTGTCTGGCGGCGTGGAAAATTGATTCGCGGAGTTCACATCCTCCTCCGAGGGGCCGTTCCAGAGACAATAATTTCTCATAGAAAGCTCCTGACGTTTTCCGACGAACAGAAAACCCAACTTGCTTATGAATCGCGTCGTTCAACCTCATGACGCATTGAATTTTCGATGGGAGATATTTCCATCCGTTTTCACGGATAATAAAACAAACGTTAGGGATACTGTGCCCCCCCCCCCCCCGATAAAGGTCAGGACAGTGAATAAGAAACGAGGTTCCACCTACCTCAAGACCGGCTTTACCCCTTATTCATCTCCCTTGTCCGACACTTTTCGCTTCAAAATAGGGAGGTGCGCCTTATATGCGGGGAATCTTTTTTTTACACAAATTGGGACCTCAAAAGCGGGGGTACGTCTTATACACGGTGGCGCACTATACTGGAGTAAATACGGTAATTCCTTTCCTTAAAGTAGGTAATCAGATTTAATTCAGCTAAATTTAATCAACTTTGAGAAGAGTACTTCAGACATGTAAATGTCACAATAGTGAATTGCCATGGAAACAAACCTTTGCTAGGGTTGGAGAAGGGGCTCTGAGGGGCAGGGGAAGGGACCCCAGAGACATTGCTCATGGCTGGACTTGGTGGATTCCCATTCCCCTGGTTCACTGTTCCACTGCCTCCACCTCCCCCTGTACCACTTCCTGTGAACCCCTGGAAATTAAGCAAATGAAACTCATCTACACAATCCAAACAAATGAACTCACCCACACAATTGACTTTGCACAGAACTGCAAGAGACATACATGTGGGGAGAAGGAGATATTGTGTGGCATGGATGGTTCTGGGATCTGTTGGAAGGACATCACCCCATGACCAGGTGGAAATTCACTATGACGAGGCACTAACACTGGTGGCAACACTGCACCCAAAAAAGAATACAAGTTAATTAATAGGAACACAAACAAGAAAATTTGTTTAAGAGCAAAAAAGCAACAACAAAATGTAATTATATTTATATATTAGTAATAAGAATTGCATATCATGTAAAATTATCATTTAAATACAAACACTCTTAGAGAAGACATAGGTCAGGGGTGCTTAACTTGTGGACCATAATTTGGATCCAGACTACTGATCCTCCCTGATCCTGAGCCTGAGCCTTCTTTCTTTCCTGGCCTCCGTGTGTCCTTTCCCTTGGCAGTGGGAGAGTAAGGAAGCGTAAGGAGTAAGCGGAAGGAGTAAGGAGAAGGGGTTTAGAGGAGACAACCTTCCATACTCCTCCCCCATTCTGAAGAGGTCCCCTTCATTTCATTCGTGTTGCCTTTCTACAACCTCCCATTCAAGAAATTCTGAGGCATATCCTCCCAGTGGGAAGAACTTTGTCATGAATTCAATCAATGTCAATTATTGGCTCTTGTGTTAGAATTTTACTTTTGAGCTACCAGACCTCCAGGACATCATGTAATGGACCCTTCCACATTACAGTTGGGAACCCCTGATACAGTACATGGATTTTCATCTGTAGGCATGCAAGCTGGAAACTTATTTTTTTAACCACTTGGCATATATATTTTATGAAATCCAGTGTTGAGGCCAAAACCCCTGGGTTTTGGACAAACTCTTCTGAAACACATAACAGGTTCCATACTACTGCACTAAATACCTCTGCCAGAGAAGGAGAGAGGATGCTCAAGTTGCCTTGTTTTCATCTTGGTTCCCGCCAGTACTATTACCAATAATGGAATTCTAAGACAGATGTACTAAGACACACAGCTCAAAGAAATAATGGTATGGGAGAGCAACTGTAGCAAATTCCAGAAAGTAGAATGTCAGTGGGTTATACTCACACCTCATTCTAGATCCCACTTAGAAGGCTGACTCTTCATTAATAATTAAATGCAAATCAAGACATCACCATACCCTGTACCATACCATCTGTATTACTGCTGGGTGACATGAATTTGCTACATATCTCCCTATAGCATTTTTTTTTAATTGTTTATCGGTGATCGCGAACGTTTTTGCACCAGTTAGAAATTCAAAAGTTTGACATGACCACTTTTTGAACGGGTGAGTGAAGATTGTGTATTCTGTATCAGGAGCAGGTCCCACTGAATGCTGAAACAGTACGACTAAGCCCAGAGTCTCAGCCGATGAACTTCGGGATAGGTCCACCACGTACAACAATAAAGTAAGGATTTAGGGCAAGAAACGCCAGTTCTTCACATCCACAGGTGGGCATATTGACATACATGGTTCTTGGAAGTTCCTTACGTCCTCATCAACGGTAAATGTCGAAAACGCGCAAAGTTGAAAACGAAAAACTGGCTGCAATATGTAACACGCTTCTCTCCTTATCCAAAGGTGGGATAAAAAAAGTAAAAATTTAATCGACTCGTGTCACTAGATATATGGATCACAGTCATCTCATCTCATAGCCTGAGTTGGACGTACTCCAAATATGAGTCAAGAGTCAAATGATCCTCTCCAGAGATGCATAGACGAACAGGAAAACCCCGAAGCCTTTTCGTATATTAAGGCCTGGGGTCAAGTAGGCCTCTACCAACTGGCTGAAGGAGGCCCATCCCCCCCCCCCCCCTTCCCCTTCCCACCGCAAACCGGACGCCAGATCCAATTTGACCTGAACCTCTCAGGTTTTTTTTTCTTTCTCGAGGAATTCGTTTTACACGTACACACTGCGTAAACGCCTCCATAAAGACTGCAACCCTCCTCTCATGAATGTTCTCATATTGTTGCATATATACTTGAAGAATTAGAGGCCTAACAGTCAGAGGTCCTGCAGCAATCCAACGCCGCACTGTCCGCAAGGGAAGGGAGGAAAGAGGAGAGGAACAGGAGAAGGGAGCGGGGGAAGGGTACTAACAAGGCGGCTGGCGCCACACTCACACACCCAGTCCTGTCTTCTCTTTCTCCCCCCTATCTCCTTCTCCATGTCCCATCGGCATGTGCAGTCATGAAACGGAGCCTTCCCTCCCCTCGTGATATCGATGCATGTGGAGCACCGAGCAATTCATCATGCCCCAACTATTCATCCATGTACGTGGATGCTCATACCGACGCCCTGAATAAATCCCGGATATTCGTCATCCACCTGCGTCAGCGTGCAGTGGAGTCACCTTGGACTAAGGCCACGGGGGTTTCCCAGGAACTCGCCTAGCCCTTGGCGGTTCAAACAACTAATAATCATTCTTTTTCTTTCCGCTCCTCTTTCATAAGGAAGCAAGAAAACTGCGACCACACTGCGAGAAGGATTTTCCAAAAAGTCTCTGTAACCGTGAGGAATTGCGCGACGAAATTTGACACCGTAACCGTGAAAACAAGGCTTTGGGTTTACAGGTATTTAATAGATAACCCAAATATCAACGGTGCCGTCGAATTTTTTTTTTTAAGGAGGGGGAGAGGATCGGGGAAGAAGGATTTGCTACAATTAAAATTTCCTGAGACTATAGAAAAACGCCCGATGACATTTGGCATAGTCGTGTCTCTAGGGCCGACTATGGACGGAAACAAGATTCGTATGAAAAGATACAATGGCAAAGCCAAAGTAATTGTTAAACTGAGAATGAAAGGCTGCTAATGCAGAGGAGGCTCGATTGCGGAATAAGTGGCAGGCTGAATCCTCCTTGCTTGCTTCGTGAGCATCTCGGTCTAGTCGTCTAGAGTCTGAGGAGGTATAACCTGGGGGTACACTGAACACGAACCTGATGTAAATTTCGGCATTAATGAATTCAAGTACTTAGTACTCATACGCAATCATGCCTGTATTTTGCTGAGGTACGCAACTTTCCAACCCACGCCGAATGCAAATCTGAAGCAAAACGCGAATAGGATAATGGCAGGAATCAATCGGTGAATGAGAACCTGAACGGAACGTGAACTCCATCTAAGGCAAGAAGTGGGCTGATCACTGTGATAACGAGGTGTGAAGAAATCTATAGAATAGGGAGTCGATACACAAGATGGGACAAAAGAGACAACCAGAAGTGAAGCTATATACGTCGCTCACAACCAGTTTTGACTCATTTCCTATACTTCTCAAGCTCATAATTATTCATATTCAATGTCTTGCGAATGCGAACTGAAACGGAAGCCCTTGTGGCACACAGAAACTGAACTCAAACCCAATAGAGGCAAGCCGAAACCGAACCTTACCTCAGTTCTTTTACGTTTTCAAGGCCGACCCGAATGTGAGCCCAATTTGACAGCGAACTCAATCTCAAGACCAACTTGAATAATGCCGCACTATTTTAAAACCGACCCAAACGCAGACACCGGACACAGTTGCAAAACGTTCGCCTCCTCTACCCGAAGGCTACGCAGCAGAAATATCTCATTTTCCCTAATTTTTAAAATGATCCTGCTCGACTCACCAGGACTCTCGACTCGTTTATAGTGGTAGGGGTTGATGCAGACTTCCTTCTGCTTGGCTGAGAAGGGGTACTCGCAGATGTCCAGGGGTTTCAGCTCGTGGTGACTCTGGAGATCCGGCCATCTCCACACGCGGCAGTATATCACGTGCGGAAGCCCCTTTCGATGTGACACCTAACCGACAACAACATGAAGTTCCATGAACTTTGCATTTATGACTTTGATATTGCACTTGTGCAAGAAACAGACCTGCAAGCGGCCGTCGAGGCTCCTAGGGATGGTGACACATCGACTGGGTTGACCAGGGGACTGAAGGGCCTTTTCCAGCTCCTCCAGAGCACCTTTCTTCTTTTTTAGCTTCTTCACCAGGGCATCCACTGCCCGCTCAGCCCACTTTTCTTCTTCGTCACCTTGCTTCCATCCCAACAACTTCTTCACAGCCGGAGACGTGAATTGAAACAGACTATTCAGTGAGGACATTTGTGCCTTTCCGAACAACTAAAACCTGCTGAAGACTTGAGTGGATGAGGTCAATCGTTCCCTAGGATTATGATTTGCGGCTAGATCTGCAGTATATTCTATTCACTAACTCACAAATGAATTCCACATATTCAATGAAAACATCCTGGCGTGATTTTCATATTGAAACTAAGTCATCAAACTTGAAATGTGATGACCCATACTGACACGGAGGAACTTCCAGAACTGTTCCTCTTCCATATCAGCACAGCTTACATTAACAATAGCGCAGTCCTACTTCTGAGACATAAGTAACTACTGGTACTGGAGATTACCTTCGCCAGTAATTATAGCATCATCTCTTAGAACTGTTTCCGGTTTGACTAGTTGTATACAGACACGCTGCGGCGCGTCTTGGTTTGTCCACAACATTCAGAGCATGGCCGTAAAGTAATTTACGACCATGCAGAGGGGAAGGTTGCTATGAGGCCTGTAACTTCTTGGGTGCTAACGCGCAGTTGTAGAGCGGGTAAGAGGGGAGATCCTGCACTTCCTCGACAACGTCCCATAATCCTTGGGCTGTCATGCCAGCGTTATCCACATCCTAGTATAATATTCGCATGCACTTGTTCCGTCATTCCCGTCTATTTTTCAGTGTCGTACGGACTAACCAAGATATTCACCCCTGCACATAATGCAGGTCGTAGGCTGTATTGGCATTAACACTCTAAACGCAACCCATTAACAGTCACCATCAAGGCATAGAGTTGTGCCGTGGAACGTCAAACTGTCCTTGGTCTTTGCGTCTGTACAGTGGTGGTGCCGCTGTACGAATTCATTTTAATTTCATCACCTCATTGGTCTTTCAGCTTTACACAGAAGTTCAGAGATAGTAGCTTGCGTTATCTTCGCACAGAGTTCACCCATTCGAACGCAAATAAAGGGTGTCCACATATTCACTTTACTACCTTAACGGGCCTTATCTCTGACTGTAATAAAGATAAAAATCTATAAAGTGGATTACATCCAGTTCAGGCGTGGGTTTTGTTTCCATTTGCAGTAGGTGAATGCTGAACCAGGTTAAACTTAGAGGAATGGATCCTGGCGTCTACTCGGATGGACAAATGAAAATCACTACAGGCCAACAGATGTGACTTTCAGCACATGAATAGACAACTGCTACTAGGTGTAAATGCCAACAAGGACCTGTTCAAGAAATTTAAGGCAACCAGGTATTTTACAATCGGTGGAGGTCATACCTACACACATTGAAATTCATCCCTGAAAGCTTCTGAAGATGGCTTTTTGGCAAACCATAAGAGCCCTCAGATCCATTCCTGTAGGTTCAGCATTCACATGCAACAAATGGAAACAAAACTTACATCTGTGGTCAATGTAATTCACTTTACAAATATAACATTTTTATTACAGTGGGAGACAAAGCTTTTTGAAAACACAGCACAAATATTAGTTATGCTTATGCCCATAAAAGTCTTTGGGTGTGAAATACCTCATCTAAAATCAAAGTCAGTTTGGAAGGACTGTATTGTCCTGTTTCAGGCAGAAAACAAAATTACCATCATCTGCAAGCCCATTAGCCATCTTCTCAAGAAGAGGTGAAAGCATCTGCATGTATATTGTGTCAGATGTAGCATTGGGTTAACTCTAATTTCTAGTGTCACATTTGAGGAAGCACTTAATGTGGAAAGCACATCTGTTTTACAGGGCATTTTTAAGGGCAGCGCAGGGTATAACTAACACAAGCCTAGTTGAAAAAGATGAGAAGCAGGTGTCCCCCCCCTTCTGTAGCCAAGATAAGAAATCTCATGATAAATTTTATGAGTTTCCTTTTCTTGAATACACCTATACAGACTCACTATCTCCAGAATGAAATGAAGGTTTCCCTACAATTTTTTGGGAATCCAAAGCAAGCAACAATTATGAAGAAAGAAGAAAAGCAAAAAACTCCCAGTTCTTTGGGTATATTTTCACTTCATATAGGCCTCAGAGCATCACTCCTGCCCTGGGCATATTGTTCCTCATATATCAGAAGGAAAAACACCATAACCATAGATACACACATCTTGGCCCTTGGGAACTATTTTTCCCACGACAGGACTGGCTTTCATGACCCTTAGAAATCACTGACACGAATCGTTGATAATTATAAAGTCCTGAGAATAATCAAATAGGCCTATCCCTATTTTAGGCTATTCTATTAGGTACTGACTACTGGTACTATACAAAATTTATTAGTCAACATTACAAACATACACCTCTCATGCCCTGTATTTGCATGAATGTTAGAGATAAGGCTTTGAAAATTCAAATATCTGAAACTGACTGAGAAAGATTAAACCAAAATTACTTCACAGGACACACTATCCAAAATGAATTTGATTAATTTTCAGAAAATTCAAGTTTATGCAATTCCATATCTCAGGACTGCATGACAACAGAGATAAAACACCACCTTTCTGCAAATGAGGGTTACAGCATGGTATGCAAAGTAATTTTTGATGAAGATGAGAAAGACCAGTCAAAATATCCTAAATATTCATGGCAAATTCTGAGTCTGGTTTATAATTACTATTTACATCTAAAGTTACAACCCAAATATGAACTATTAATTTTTTACATTTCACCATTGAAAAAACACCCTGACCAACTCAGTGGCTTAAAACCTTGGGAGAAATAGTCTTCTGAAGGCACCTAATTTTTCATTTAATTATGCACTGCTCTGGAATTTCAACTGTAGTTTTCCTGACAAATTACAAACACAACTTTTTTTCAAATTATTTATGTACTTAGAGTAACCACAGCAATCAGTGATTATAGATATGAATTCTCAAATTAATTTTTATTCAATCTTGCAGAGAAAAGGGACTAAATCCCATAGGTATCTTATATTAAAGCATGACACCCCACAGCAAAATACTGACATTAAAAAAAAAAACCCAAGTGGATGAATGACTCTTTTGGTCACATGCTACAACTTCCTTGTGTGAGAAAAAATTAATCAGGAATGTGGCAGTTTCATTCTAAAATTTCACACATACTCCCAAACTCACTCCAAAATCTAAATTTTTCCATGATAAATATTAATATTAACTGCCATAAAAAAAGGTGTGTGGTGCAGCATAAAGACATATCAGTGATTCAGAATCTTAATCCTAAAAGGGGCCAAAATGAGACTTTGATACATGTTCCAGGGCTGCAGATACTAATGAAGGTTTCATTTATCATGGTTTTTGGCACTGTTTTTTAGAGGCCATCTTCTCTCTCTGGATGAAATTAGTCTTCAGGTTGTACATTCCTGCCTTGAGGTTGTTATGCATGATTCAAAATGAAGTAGGTCCAATTCATGAGTTTCACCAAATGCAGGGATCATGCAGCACCTTTGTTCATATTCAAGTCTATTTTGCCAGTGTTGAAGTTAACAGAATGAAATGTTGTAAATGTCTTTGACAAACAATAAAGTAGAATCATACCATTTGACCAGCCTCTTTCTTTTCCTCACTATCCAATGAAATTTGACAACAGGTCCTAAAGGTAACCTGTACAGGATTCACACTAGCTTTTTTAAATCTTAAGTCCTGGTGCCTAGCTTCAACTCAGAGGGAACATGTTCAGGTGGGGGTGTCAATGAGTCCCATGGACTTAGATGTTTTGCAAATATGAGTCCCTCCAAGAAAATATGAGTCAGGGACTCACTAAAGCAAGTTAACATGAACCCTGTTGTATTAGCCTCTGCAAAACTAATTAAAATCTTTATTATATTTATAGAAGTAATAGCCTTATTTAATAGCTGGGCAGAAGATGTGAGAAGTACACACACTTCTGCAAGGAAAAACATTTTCTATGACAAGAGTTAAGGAAAGCAATCAAAGAAGTCTCAAGTAGGAAAAGTAGGAAAATTTGTGGAGGAGAACTCATACTCTACCTCTGCATCTAAGGGAAATAGAATTGTCTCCTAGAAGTTGTTGCCTCTTCAATCAAAATCTGCGCTTCTATCCACCATAATTACCATACAAATTTTCGTGAAATGGACCTGAGTCCATGACCCTTTGGTATAAAAAAAAAGAAATCTCTTCAGATATAGTGCAGGTCCTTCAAACACAGGAGTCTAATTTGCTATTGTGTTTTAACTGGAGATATATTATTTAGTTTTATAGGAAATCATTATATACACAGGTAGGCCTACATAAATATTCTTTGCTTAACACATCACTATCAATCATGACATGCCACTCTTTTACATAGACTTACATATCTGACATCTACTCTGCTTGATTTTATGGAGGATAACTCCTTAGGCAATCCACCAGGCTTTGTATCAAAATTGTGTTGTTATAAAATAAATCCAAAGAGTTTATTATTAAAGCAACATTTCTTTAATTTGTGTTGAAGAACCCTCATTTCCTCCAACAAAATCATTTGGAATAATGCCAGTAAATTGAAAATGTGCTTTTTGCACAGATATCCTATTTTGAGCTGGAAGAACCTAGGCTTATTCATAGGCCCAGGACTCTTCAGAGAAATATCTGCTTTATCACGTTATTTTTCTCAACAGGATTACCTGACAGGCAACCCTAAAAAGGACTAACGGTAGGTCTGCGAGGTCTACCTTAGGGCCAACGTTATGTCTAAAGAACCTACCTTAAGACCAGGCCTATAGACTAAGACAATCAGTAAGATAGGCCTAAGATGCGCCTATCCGATACATAGGTTCCGACACCGCGCCCCTGGTAGCTTACGATAGACCTAGGCCTGGAGTCAAGGCCTTCCAAGGACGCTCGTGGAACTCGCTCACTCACACACACTCTCTCTCCCTCTCCTTTTCCCCCCCCTCCTTCCTACACTACACCTAGCCTACGGGTAAGAGTAACGTTAGGAGAGCAGTGTAGCCCATGGCGTGGTGTGGCTCGTGTAGGCGTTACTTAGGCCTGTAAATCCTAGCGCAGTCCACGCGTGCATCTACCCGGCCCAGAGGAATGACTCAGAGTTTTCTGAGGCTAAAT